TTTGGTCTTTGTTGGAATTTGGTTCGTTGGAAATTTGTGACTCTCATCACTTAGAAGTGAAGGGCGGTGCATCCAAAAGACAAAAAGAAATCAGTAAGTTTCCATTTCATCCAGCACTCAGGACTGTAGGAATGGTCAGTGGGAACAGTGGGGCTTATTGTATTCTCTGAGTTTTAATATCCTGACAGCAGACATGGATTACACCAGACCTTAATCCACCAGCAGTGTGCTGCACCGTCCATTCCCATACAGCCCAGTATGGCTGCAGACACATATGAGTGGCAAACTGGAGCAGCCAGAACACCAAACCCATCTGCAAGCTGCCTGTTGGGTCCCTGTGGTCAGGAGAAGTTCGGTTTGCTGAGCATTCAATATGCATGTATGCAATTGCAAGTATACATACAGAACTCTTGCAGCATCTTCTGATTCTACAGACACCACAACAGGTGGCAAGTCCAACATCCAGAGAGTTTCTGTCTCTGTGAGATAAATATCCACTCTCTTGTCTAAGTCTTCTTCTGTCACTTGTTCTTTTATCTCCTCTCGCCTCACCTGTACATCTGACAAGTTATAGGAGGTTAACAAGTGAGACTTCTGCTCTCAGTTCAAAAGAAGGCAAATTAACTCTGGAGGTACCATAATAAACAGGAGCCAGAACCTGTGAGGCCCTGGGTGCCTCACAAATCTCAGTGCTCCAAAGAAGAGTTCAAATCTATAATTATACAGTGTATGTTCCTTACCAGGTGAGCTAACAGCTGTGTCTTGGAGAGATCCAGGTGCTGCTATCCCATCTAGCATGGACTCTGTTATTGACATGGTAGATTTAGAAATTCTGCTGCTTTCAGAGGTCCTTCAATAACAAAGAAATAAGTTGAAATGGTACATGAGAGTCCAGATGCCAGTTAGCAAAGCGCTACGAAAACAACAGTGTTATCAGGATAAAGCACAGAGGACTTTGTGATAGCATGTACAGGAATGCTTGCTTTGTAAAAGAAGTCGTAGAAGGTTTTGCAAAGAAAATAATGAAAGGGATGGAAAAAGACTTAAAGAGGAAGAATTCATCCAACAGCATATCCTGGGGCATTAAATAGCTGCTGAAAAGAGGCTGTTGAGTTCTCAGATTCATTCTTTGCATGTAATAATGTGATGTGCTGGTTACCTGCTGAGTGATACCACGTACATACGGAGAGCACAGTTTCCACTGGAATTAAGATCCCTCGGGGCTTTGCGTGTGTTGAAATGCACAAGAAACTCATTTCAAGGGATCAGCTTGTTAAAAAAAAAAATAGATAATGTTCACAGAGAGGATGGCTGTGATAATAACCAGAAGGAAAACTCAAGACTGATGTAGAGTTGGGTGGTTTTTGAAGCGGATTTCCACAAAAGCCAACTGCGAGCAATTATAATTATACAAGGGGCATTTGATGTGACATCTTTTAGAGTTGTATTAATCCTAAGGTAAAATCAATTCATTTGTCTCTTAAAAGAGAGCTCATCTCCAGAAAGGTGGTCTTTTTTAATTTACCATCTATTTTTAAGCCATTTTTGTGTGTATTGGCCCCTGCTCAATATCCCTGTCTCTGGGATTATCTCTCACAATAAGCTGCCATAGGGAGCGTGACAAAAAGTGTTTTGCTCAGAAATTGCAATGGCATTAACTTTGCCAAAGGAAAGAGTAAATAATACTTGTTTTTGTTTAACTTGAGGGATTTTTCCAGTGCTGACTTGACTTGTCTTTTTAGTCTGTGTGACTAAATACATTGTGCCTCCTCTCCACTAAACGTGAATGTGTGCACACCATCTGATAAAGTAATGTCATTCACTGCTGTTCATTTTTAAACTAATTGGTTTTTACCTTCCTTCACATAAATTACCTGAATTTGTCACCCAGAAGATAAACCTTGTTTATTCCCTCTGTACTGAAGGTTTGGCTCCACTAAGTAATGAAACATGTCGTTTAGCAGCTGTAACTCAAGAGTTTTGAAATAGATACATATGTGTACACAGAGGTAACTTATTAAATTAATTTAAAAGAGATCATTCTAATTATGCTAGCCATATTTTGAATACCTGAACTGACAAAATCAGAGCTCTAAAACGGGGTTGTTGCTACTTCAGAAGTACCACAGACAGGCAAAATAGTGTAAACAGCTCTGTAACTTGTCAGTGAAACCAGATCTTACGTTTCCAGAGCATTTTTCTATGCCCACAGCCAAACACACGTTGACAAATTGCAATTTTTGAAAAGATAAGTGTGAGGAAAGCAGAGTATTTGAAATAGCCATGGCAATACAGTGAAGAGCTGCAAATGCCCCTTCTCAGCTTTATCTTCTTGCTCAGAGAACTGGAACACAACCGTCCTTGTTTTTGAGATGGTGCTTTGTCACGTACTTACAAATAGGTTCTAATCTGTGTTTGCAGCCCTAGCCCTTACAAAACCTATAGAGTGTAGGTCTGCATTTTTGTACTGTGACCGTCTCTAAAAACAGTCCATTCTGCAATGTTACACAGAAGAATGTGCATTAGGAAGGAGAATTTGAACACAGCCAGAAATATTACAGCAGCATGTGGCACAGTGTGCTTTCAACTGCATGTATTAGCATGTCAGCAGGTAGTTCTTGCACAGAATCAGTCTCAGTCACAAGTAATGATAAATTCCACTTGTTCTGTTTGTTACTACGCCTCAAATTTCAGAGGATGACTATGACAGGTGTGTATTCTAGAAACACAGAACTAGCATTGCACCATTATTCTATCTCTTAGATAGAGATAGATAGCTAGAATAGATAGATAGACAGCATAGATAGCATAGATAGAACAGATAGATAGAGTAGATAGCAGAGCAGATGTGTGACCGCTGCAGGACAGGCGTCTGTGATAGGGGAGTTAAGAGACAGCAATTAATGGACTAACCTTGAGTGTGGGGCTGCAGAACTACCCTCCTCCTCTGATGTCTGATACATGGAAAAAGGGAGAAAAACTGATCCTGTGGCCCTCGAGGAATCGCTCAGTGCCAGGAGCTTGCTTTGTTTGGATGCAGCAGGTTTTGGATCTGGATGGAAGAGCGGATGGGGTGTCACATCCTTTCCTTCATCATCAAAAACCTGAAGAAATATTTAAATAATAATAGCAATGTCACTGTCTTCTCAAAGCAAATGGCAGTTATGAGACATGCAACATTTTGTCTTATCTTGAACCAAAAGAAGACCCCGATCCAGGCAGCACACGGAGGTATTCACCCTCCTTGACAGAACAGGCATCCCTGTTGTGCAAGTGGTGCCTAATATACACCACCAGTGTGAGCAAAGAGGGGTCGATCCCCACTTTCCCTTTAGGATTCAGACTTTAAAAGATTCTCATCTGTGCTTGGGTCTTCTTTGGAGCTGTCTTTACAGAAATGATGCAAAATATCTGAAAAGATCTGTGACCATCCCACTGTCTGAGACACTTCCTCTTGTTCGTCCCTGTTCTCTTTCCTGACTTACTTATCCTGTGACTACCAAGAGTGCCTCATTGACCATAACAATTAGTATCAAATTAGCAGAAGAGCAAAAGCAACTAGAGAAACAGCCATGTGTCTTTTTTGTATGATACTGCCCAAAATATCATTTTACTCTGACATTCAGTATGATTTTTAAACAGAACTCTGAGCTAATGTTATGAGAATCTTCTGTTTTTCAGGTAAAGGCATGCAAATGCTACAGCCAACATCTCATTTAGATTTGAAAGCAAGTAGTTCTTAAATTAGGAGCACTGTTACCTTAAATTGCTTAACTTCAAATCAACACATTCTAAATTGTGAAAAAGAACATTGTACTGTGCCCAGACAATTTTTTTTTTTTTCAAATAACTTACTTTAAAATTGTGTTTTTCTTAACTCAAATGGAAGGTATGGTTGGCTTATCTCACTAACTTCTGGAAGGCTCTCAAGACAGTTGCTCACCCCATAAAAACAGAAGAAGAACACCACTACTAAAAAGTAAAAAAAAAAAAAAAAAAAGCAAACCAAGGCAAACTGTGTCAGTCTGTGGGTTTTTAAACCATGGAGAAACAAGTGTGCCTAACCGCTTTGTTTTTGTTCTTGTAGATCAGTTTTGGACACTGATGCTGTGGGTGTCCCTATTCATGGCAGAGAAGTGGGACCAAATGGCCTTTAAAGGCACCTTCCAACTCAAACATTTCTGTGATTCTACGCTTGTCATTTCAGTCTGGACTGAGCTCTTGGATCTTCTTCCTTCTCCACAGCTCTTTAGTTCCAGCTGCACCTCTGCTTTCCTCTTCCCTCTCCTCACAGCTTTTAGACTCCACAGAAAACTCCCACTGAAGTGTTATGCAGCCTCTCACCCTCACATCGTGCTGCCTGTGCTCCTGGGCCGCCTTCTGCACAGCTGTGCCCGTGGAGGTGGGGACATGGCTGTGGCCTGAGATGCTCGCCTGCTTTCGGCTGCCAAAGGTGATCCTCAATTTTTGTCTCACTCTGAAACCAGAAGTGGTTTCAAATCACAAAATACAATCAACATTATACAAAAACTACCTATGCTTTAATTTTCATTTAAAATTGAATTCTTCTCTATCATTGTTCAGGATGATATAGTAAAGGGACACGAAACAGCAAAGGAATAACGTAGCTCCTTCAGAAGAACTCCACTTGGCTTCTAAGGAGGCTTTTTCAGTGGTGGACAGGGCTGGGGGAAACTACGGTAAAGCAGAAGTGTCAAAGGCGTTATGCTGCAGTCTGGGGCTGAAATAGCAAACGGGAACCGAGGAGCAGCTGAGACCCGTCCCGAGATCTCTCCTCCGGGGCGCCGCGGCCGCGCACTCACACAGATAACCGCCGCGCTCCGTCCGGGCCCGGCATGGCGGCGCTGCTCGGAGGGGGCAGCGCGTCGCGCGGTAACCAGGGCAACGCGCCCCAAAGACGCGGCGCGGCGATTGGCTGCCAAGAACGGCGCCGCCGATTGGTCCCCTCTCTCCCGCTCTCCTCGCGCCCGCTCGGCCTGAGGGGAGAGAGCCGCGTTGCGGCCCGCCCGTCCCCGGGGTTCTCTCCGTGCCCGGCGGGGCTGGGCCTACGGGCCGCCCCTTGCCCACCCCGGGGCTCCTCCCTGCCGGCAGGGCCGCGGCAGCGCCGGTCCCCGCTTTGTCACTGAAGCACAAAGGTTCTCGGCGGCCCGGGGAGGCGGCGGCTCCCTCCGCCCCTGAGGCGGGGAGCGGGGCCGGGGTTTGTGGGGCTTTCAGTCAGCGAAGCTGCACGCGGCGGTGCTCTTAGCGTCGCCCCGCGGGGCCTCTCCCGAAGCGTCGAGCCAGAATGCAGCGTCCCTGCCTCTGTCAGTGGCCGTGACGCCGGTTCGTACCCGCAGCCTCTGCGCCCTTGCGCGGCCCCGTGGGGCAGAGCTGCAGCCGCACGGGGATGGCTTTAGGGACAGCAGCATTAGGACGCGCTTTGTGTTTTGTTTCCCTTTCCGTAGGACCACCGCAGCGTCGCGCACGGCGCCGCTCCCCAGGACCGCGGTGGGACGACGCCTTCCGCGCCCCAACGTGAGTAACGCCGGCGGGAGCGCGATTTGCTCGATGCGGAGCGACACCCGGACCGTTTGGGCTCCGTGGGCGGCACCGAGCGGTTCCGCCGACCGAAAGACCGGGCGCCTTTCCGTACCGCTCCGCCGCCGCGAAGGCGCGGCGCTGACGGGACGGGCCGAGAGGGCGGGGCCTGGCGGAGTGATTGACGGTCGAGCCGAGCGCGCGTGCGACTGCCCCGCCTCGCCCGGCCCGGCCTCTCTCCGCCGCCCGTGCGCGGTGACGCAGCGCGGCGCGCCGCCCGGCTCCGCCCTTGCCCCGCCCTCCCGCCGCTCCCCGCCGCCGCGCAGCCCGCGACCCTCCGCTGCCGTTTCCTCCGCCGCCGCGGCGGCGATGTGACCCCTCCCCGGCCCGGCCCCCGCCCTCCCTCCCGCGCAGCGAACATGGCGGAGGTGAGAGCTCGGCGGCGGAGGGGCGGGGGCCGGGCCGGGGAACTTGTTGCGCGGGGCCGCGGCCGGGCGGAGCGTCCCGCAAGTTACTTGTGGGGCCGGGAGCAGGCCGCGACGCACTGAGCCCGGCGTCCGCAGCCGAACCCCGCGCGGCCCGGCACGCCTCGGCGGCGGGGAGGGGGGAGCTGGGAGCGAGCGGCGCCTCCCGCCCCGGGGCCGCCCCGCGAGGCGGTCGCCGCCCGCGTTAGGCTGTGCCGGGGGGGTCGGAGCCGGGCCGGACCGGGTGGGGGGGTGGGTGGAGGGGGGGCAGAGCAGCGCTGCGGGGGGTCCCCGCCTGTCCCAGCGCACGAAAAATCTTTTCTCCCGGGCATCGCGCGCGGCTCCGTTGCCGGAGGATGGAATTGGCATTTGTTTTCGTTAATTATCGTTTCGGGCCATCGGGACAAAGAGGGGGATTGCTGCCCCTTGGGGGGAAGGGGGGGGGGGGGGGTGCATTTTACTCTGGAGGGGGGAGGAGGGTTGTGGGGGAAGCACAGGGAATGGCAGAAAGCTTCCTGAGCCCGTCGCGGGTCCGTGCGGGCTGACTGATGTGCACGATGTCCATCGCGGTGGGATTGGGAAGAGCAGTGCTTTGGTGTCCCAGCAGGCAAGTTAGGATACCTGAGTTGAAGTTCTGTCAAGTTTCCTTCCGATTATCCTAAGATCCCAATTTTAAAGTAATTTAGAATCATGGAATCAACTTGCTGCTTGAATAGTGTTGACAGACAAATTAGAAATGCTTGTTTGGAAGGTATGCTATAAACAGATTCTTCCCAGGATGGACATTTGTTCCAGCTACGTTTGCGGGAGAGAGGAATCTGTGTTTAAAATACCTTGTGTGTGATGAATCTTCCCCGTTCCTTTGAAATTTCTGAATAGATGTGAATTCTTATTTGGAGCTATTTTTTCAGCTATAATATAGCATTACCTTCTGCCATTGTTACTTAATGTAACAATGTAAGCTGTCTTTACAAGTTAATACAGTTGTTTTCTTTCTACATCTTGAGAGGCAGAGAATCCGGGGTCTGAGCCCTGAGACAATGTGGCTGCTAACTAACTCCTGTCTCGGTGAAGCCAGAGGCAGGGACTGGGGCAACGCACAGTTCAGGGGTTTGGTCTCAAGTTTCGCCTGATAAGTTTTGTTAATGTAGCCCAGTGTTATTGTGAAATACCCCCAGAGCTCCGTTCTGGGAGAGCCGAGGCTCGCCATGTTGCTGGGAGCCACAGTCAGAGCTGCACTACTTCCTATTTGGTACAGTCACGTACTTCTATTGACGTTGCAGCAGGGACGGGGCTGAGAGTTGTAGGGGATGCGTGCTGCAGAGAGCAATAAAGCCATGGGGTATGGAGGGCAGACAGGCATTGTTTTTTTCACTTTATGGATGTTGTTCTGAAGGGAAAGGCTTTTGTTACTTGTTGGCTTTGATATTTTACTAAGAAAAGGAAGAGAATATATTTTTTCCCCCCTTCAGTATTTTGAAGAAAAGCTCTGATGAGTTCTTTGTTGCATCAGGGCTGCTTTAGCTCTGGGTACGGGGCAGGAGCAGCACAAAGAGGCTCTGGAAGCCTCGATCCACCTGTGGGACAAACTCAGAGGCAGCAGCAGCAACACGGGCTTGGCTGACATTTGTTTGCATCCGCTGAAGCCGTTTGTGCAAACAGCCTTATGCCTGCACTGCCTTCTAGATATGGAAACCAATCAACATTAGAAATAAAAAACTCTCTGTGATTTAAGCTAGGAGCAGTGCACTGACTATGATGGCTCCCAGTGCAGCTCGTGACTTCTGTAGGGGGTGGGATGAAGTCTCCTCAGCATGGCTGTGCCTGGAGGAGCTGCACGATAGCAGTAATGAGGATGGAGCTTCTGGAAATTGACAGGGAAGTTCTTCAGACAGGAGCTCTGAGCCTGCTTAGTGAGTCCAGAAAGTGAAACTGAAGTAACAAAAAATCCCGTTTCACTTTTGTAGAAATGTATTGATTTGTATGCAGGGCAGAACAGAGGGGAAACAATAGTTTGAATGTCTATTATACAGGGGTTTAGACTTGGGATTAATAACCTGTTTTAGGGTTGCGTTCCACTTCAAAACGTGCTCATGTGCTGGGTTTGAGTGCTAATGCTCCAAATGTTAGAAGATTGTCCAAGGCATAGTCAGAAAGAAAGCATCTCTAACTTAAGATCAGGGCTTTGTGTATATTACAGAATTGTGCTTTAAGCAGCTTATTTAGTCTTTGTGGTGGAGTGAACGCTGAGCATTTTTTCTCCCTGCTATAAAAATTGTAATGTCTATTGAGAGGAGAAGATTTTGACTTAAAAGCGTGATTAGTAGTTGAAAGAATGCTTCTTTGTTGTCGTTTGTTTATCCATTACAATGTTTGAATAAAACGTGAGAATGAGATCTTGTGATTGCAAAAACTGGAGGAGATGGGGTCAGGCTATCTGCTGGCAAGTTACAAAGCTAAATACCTGCTATGATTTCCAGAAGTGCTGAGCTCCTGCTTTTTTGTTGTTTTGCTCTGTAATAGCTTGCACCAGTCAGGTTGCTACAGGCACAACTGGGGTGAATGCACAGGGCTTTTTTGGATTGAGGCGTTGTTTTGTTTTTGGTTTTTTTCCCCCCAAAATCACTGGAGAGTAAGAGAGGTGCCAGGCCTGCACAGGAAAAAGGATGCTCGTGTTTGATCAGAGATGGGCTGGGCAAGTTGGGGGGTGCAAATCCCCCAGCCAGACTGGCACAGCTTTGTTTGGGTTTCCGCATGTGGGTGGGAGAGGATGGACAGCAGCTGTGCGGTCAAGCAGCTGCCAGAAAGGGATGGCTCTGCTCTCCTGCTGCTCCTGCATAGGTGGGTGCTCCCCGGCCTGTGCTGTGGGCTGGCTCAGCTTGTAGCTGAGGAGGAGTGAAATGCTTCCTGCAGGGCAGCCGGTGGCATCGGCTAATGCACAGACCTAGGGGCTGCTGAGCTGGGACGGCACAGCCAGACGTGGGCATCAGAGAGGGAGTGGTGTCTTCCTCCTTCCAAAGATGGCAAGCCAAGAGGTTGGGTCAGCTTGTCCGTGGGCAGTGTGCTTGTCTCGAGCAGTTCTGGATGCTTGCTTGTGCTAGAAAATGCACTCCTGTTGGCATCCTTTGCACCAGCTCACGGTGTTCCTTGCCCTGCAGTGGGATGATTCTGCTTGCTGACTGCAGGAACAGAGAGCTTAATTTTTGCTGCTTCTGGAGTTGAATGGGCTTCCAATGGTCTCAGCCAGCGATGGGAAGAAGCAGGAGCTGTATGGGAGAGGAGCAGGATGAGCTCTCTTCCACAATCAGTGGACAGTTGACTTCCTTGAATGCACTTTGGTGTTGTTTGCATTTCTGGAAGTTTGGTTGCTTTTAGTCAGAAAATCAATTTATTAATGTTGTGTGGAAGTGCTTTAATAACCCCTCTTTAAATCTGTGATATCTGGCAAGATTTTTCTCCTGATTGCTGTTCTTTAAGTTGAAGGGTTTTAAACCTCTTTGTGAATCAGAATTCTAGTTTTCCTATGCATCTTGAAACAAGTGCAGAAATAGTGCTTAAGAAATATGTGTTCTAATAACACTTTTTCACATCCTCAAGCTTTCTATTTCTATTTCTATTGTGCCATGCAATTGCTTTAAAATAATATGGGTAAGTGAGTATAGCTTCCCCTGGAGGAAGCAGCAGTAAAGTTAGCATGATTGCTGATGTGATTCTGCGTTGAGGTGTTTCTGGCAGTTGGGACAGAGCTTTTGAGTGATGCTTAGATACAAAATAAGGTCAGAATAGCTTAAAGTGAGGTTTCCTGCTGATGAAAATTGGTGATTCGCATCAATCCATCGTGGTGAGCAGGACTTTTGTTGGCTCTCATTACATGTGCAGATTAAACTGGTGCTGATGGCGTGTCCTGCTTTGGAGCAGTTTTGGCAGGGTATCTCACAGAGATGTCTGAACCCAGTGCAGATCTGAGGGTTCCATCCTGGCCCCATGGTAAGCCTGTCGTCTCCAGGCAGTTGGTTACACCACTGCTTGTATTCCCTCTGCTTTTCTTACAAGCTATTGAAGAGAAAACAATAGCATTTAGTGGTCTTCATTTCTAGAATAGGAAGTGTTGCTTTTTTCCCTGTCATAACGGAAGAATTTTGTGGATTTTTGTGCATGTATGATAGAACACTGCTGCTTGTGGGTTTCCTGCTTGAGTTCTTTCAAATGCAGTGTAGGGATTTTAGGTAAATAGTGGAATTGTTGAAAAGTTTGGTTTCATTTTGAGCTTTTTCCTGGCCAGCAGCCCCAGTCTGGATTAATATTTCAATGTTAATCCATTCATGTCACAAATTGTGCACAAAATTGTTTTCTTGTGGAGCTCGGCCTGTGGTGGTGTCTGGTTTCTCTGAAATGCTACTGCAGGATGTGATGGAACTGTGGGCTTCCAGTTTCTCTTTGTGAGAAATTTCAGAGTATTGCAACAAGTCGAGGCTGCGGCTGCACTTTGTAATAGATGTGAGTAGTGAGTTGTTAGGACCAGTAGAAAATGTG